CTGAAACGAAGGAAGCGAAACGTTTTTATAGATATATTTATAGATATCGTCACACTGTTCGAAATAAGTTTCTCTTCGTATCGACTCTAATGCAATTAGCGAGATTGTGCGAGAGACGCGGAATTGGAACTACGCGACGTTAAGAATAATACGTGAAACAATCTCGTGACAACAAGGATAATTACCTCCGGAGAGATTTCCTGCCAGTTGCCACTTTCTGTCAGGGCGACCTGTGGAATTAGTAAACACACGCCACTCAACTGACGATAATTAGTGTTCTCGTATGGCTGCTTCATCTCCAAACGATTCGCAGATCCAACGCAATGTAGAAAGAGAGAGGGTAGAGAGGGAGGAGGGGGAGTTCAGTGAAAAATTGAAAAGGAGACGATCGTGAAAACGCGAGGAATGTTGCAGCTACCGTGACGCTTCTGATACGTAGAAAATTTTGCAAATTTTGAAGGTATAGACGCGTGAAATAAAAAAAAAAAAAAAAAAAAAAAAAAAGGAGTGTGAAGAATGTGGCGATGGAACAGTGGTGCGCAGATTTAGCGCGATCGCGTTGATGATGACACGATTGAGACGACGTCAAGCATTGGCTTACCTTAACTACCTGCCGCTCTGGCTGCTGCAAAAGAAAAGACACAACGAAAAAAAAAAAAAAAAAGATAGACAATCGGTGTTAGTAAACGGAGAAAAGTTTGCATAGGTCTGATATGATATAATTGCATTCAAGGTGTAGATTCATGGGGCGTACCCTTTGCTGGCTGTGCACGATCAAAGTTCCCTTGTTCCCGTTCGTTTGGCCGGTTCTGTAAGGCGAGTCCACCACGTTGCCGTTCGTCAGATAATCTGCGGAATTACACAGAGATTTTATCGTTTAAAATAGTTCAGGATCTTCAGAGAGGAGGGAATGTCGAAAATGTTTTTACGACTTTCTACGTCCATCATTCCATCAAAACATTCGTCATTTCGTTTACCAGACGAATTTTGCGCCTGTCTGGCAACGTGACCGCGATTATGCAAGCGCGTTACATTCGCTGTCATTGTGATTTGCCAGGTTTGTTTCTCTGGTAGTCGAAATAACTTCAAAGTGCTCGTCTATCGTAGAAAACTCGGGCCGAGAGCGTGAGCGTGAAATCGTTTCGTATCTCGTGCTGGCAGGATCGTCTTAACCCATTAAGACCTTAGCGGTAATTCACAATTCAATTTCTTGTTGAAATTCACAAAATTTTTGGTAGAGAACAATCTACGTAGACAAGGAAGATATCCTTGTATAATGTATCGTCTCGTATTAGCCTCTCAATATTGAAAAGTAGAATTTGATCGAAAAGAATTTCTGATCCTTAATGAGTTAAATGAACGGGGTTGAAAGATGAGGAGGGTGACAGGTAAGAGAATATCTATACTTGTACATACGAATAAACATACGTCATGCGAATTACTAGCGAAAGGTAGAAATCCGGATACACTAGAGATGCAGGCGCGCGAATGAAAGAGGTAGGATAAGAGCTGCTAATGAACGACGAGTGTAAACACTTCGTACTATTCTATAGTTGTAGAAGAGAAAACAGGATCTACGGTACAGTTAAAATACACATTATGCGAAACGACGATTCCGTTTCAACGAGATTGTACATCAACGAGAAAACTCGTACGGGGCACACGTACAACCGTTTTCACAACCGGGGCAGTAACGTTACTAATCATCACTATGTTTTGCACACACTTAGTGAGCACGAACGCAATGCCTTTCAGATAAAGTAATTGGTAATTACCCCCATCGGGTTGAACGGTAGAGTCGTACAAGATAAGTGTGCTGTTACCATTGTTGTAATTTAGACTATTGTCGCTGATGAGATTTGTCGGGGTGTAGGTACGAGGAGTCGGTGACACCGGCTTTATCGTCTCCTTCACCTTGTAAGGTTTGCTCCCAATTTGAGGCACCTCCGCACCCTCGATGAATAAAAACTGAGAAAAGAGAGAGAGAGAGAGAGAGAGAGAGAGACAGAGAGCGAAACAGAGAGGAGCGAAGGGGAGAGAAAACGATGATACAGCGTAGCAAATAAAGAACTTTTTTCTTACGTTACGTAAGAACGTTCGTCTCGTTCGTTTTCTTATTTACCTCGACGGTCAAGGTGCCGGTGATGTCCTCTTCCTCGTACGGGCGATTTTGAAGCGGTATTATCTGCCTTTGGCTCGGATTCGCCAGCAGCTCGTCGATCCCGACAATTCCCAAACCTAAGAATCGTTGGGACTTGTTCACGCGATCGTAAACTTCCAGCAGCACTTCCGACGTATTGCGATTAACGTCGCTGCAAATTATGACGGATCGTGAGATCCAAAGGTCTCGCGGTTTGTGAGAGGTTTGTCGTAAATTTCGCGAGTCCACTCTGTCATTTATCGCGATATTCTTGAAATTTTCATTCGCACCACGCAATGTTTTGTTCTGAACTGGACTTACAATAAGAATGCCTCGTCCCACAATGGATTGCGAGTATCCTTCTTAGCAGAGGTTTGATTCTTCTGCGATGGTTCGTCCAATTCAACGACACAATACGGCTCAAAAGCACCTTGCTCGCCGCCTAATTCCGCCGCTCTGACCACTTTAACCAGCAATCTTCTGTCACTGAATATATATTGATTCTGCGTCGATGTTGGACTCTGAGTTTGAAGCCGCTGTCTCGAGGCTTGTAGCGAACCACTTGACGTAGTCTGCGAATCAGTTATTATTTGTCGTACAGCGAAAGGTTTCGCTTCTTTAAAAAAAAAAAAAGAAAAAAGAAAAAGAAAATTTACCACATTGTCGTAATGCATAGGCATCGAAAAGCTGGGTTGAGTGGCCACCGGTTCCCTCCATAACCGTGGACAGCTCGGATATTGGAATAAATTCAAATGAACATTGGTCCCCCTTAGCGCGCCTATTACGATTTCCGTTACGACTTCCTGCAACTGGCTCTCGTCCAGATCTTTCTTTATCGTGCCTACTTGCGCCAGCGAGACTTTCACCTAACGTTAAAACCCAAGCAACAGAAGGATGAATGACCGGTCCACGGAGCCACAGGTTACAAAGAAAGACTTTAAAACATGGTAAAAATATGGATACAAACATCCGGCCAGCCGTCGCATTTCAAATCTAGGAGAAGCTTCTCGGTGATGCAAATGATGTTCAATCGCGCGCGGAAGCGATTCACGTTGACGCGATAGTGGCTGACTTCGAGTTTGTCTGCTTTCCGGCGGGACGCTTTCAGCTGTAAAGCTGGAGTAGCCTCGCAGTCGCACGTGATCGTCTGAAAGGAAATAAGCAGAGATTGCAAAACGATCCTCGACGATGCAGTGTCACTGTCTCGGGGGAGAAATATTTCGTACGTACCACGTCATCCTTGGAGTCGCACTCGCAAAAGATATTTGAAAGATTCGGTGGATGTGTTTCAGGCAGAACTCGGACGAACTCGACGCCGACTCCGTGCTGCGAAACGAATTGTTTTTTTTTCTTTCAATTAAAAAAAAAAAATCGAGAGGTATCTTAAGGGAGAAGCTTGGTCTTTGTAAATTCTGATTGACTATTGCGGAGTGGCTATTCTGTAAGTGAACGAAAGCCAACAATAAACGCGTGTAACCTGACGAGCTGAAAAGTTGACAAGGCTGTCGGTAAAATTGTCCGTCTGTTAAACGGGTTAAGCCGGTGGTTTCGTTGCTCAAGAAACACCTACGCATCACCCAAGAAACTCGCGTTGCCTTATCTAGTCTCGCCGATTAACGTCTCGCGTACTACGACACAGATTTCGAATGGGTCGAGCAAAGTTCGATTCCAAACTCTTTCCTAACGTCATTTTTTTAATTCTTAATACTTATCCAGTGATAAATCAGTGGTCTCTCGATATAGTTGAGAAAGTTAACAGCGAATCAGATATCTTATTGTTAGATCAATCGTCAAATAAATACCGATGATAACGATAGTACCTCGTCGACGGAGTTGGCGGTAAATTCGTTGAGGGATGCGACCCAAACAGCCAAGAGTTCATCCAAAACCGCCGGATCGGAGTAGAGCCAAACGATTATCTCGTTGACCCAACGAACCGCATCCGGATCGGCGCCAGTGGCGGTCGGTAGATTCAAACTTTTGCTGCTTCTTGCCGGGCTGATGAGAGCACCGGATGTTTTCCGGGCGGTGAGACGTTTGCGCACAGGAGGTGTCGGCGGGACGTAGGAAGAGGGTGACGAGCCGATACCGGAAGCGGAGCTGGTACCGCCACCGGATGGATGAGCGGCGGCTGCGAGCGATCCGGAGCCGGCACCACCGCCACCACCTGCCCCGATACCCGAGGATGCCGAGCTCGATGAAACGATTTTTTGTTTGCCAAACGAAAGTAACTTGCCGCTACCACCACCACCACCTCCACCACCGGCAGTACCACCACCACCAGCACCAGCACCAGCACCAACACCACCACTGACACCGACGCTATCACCGTGGACGATATGGCCGTCCTTGGCGGTAACTATCGTCCCAGGGGCAAGCTCGTTCAAAACGAACCGATTGTAAACGTATTTGCCGACACAGAGTACCACCAGCCCGAACAACATCCAGCCGAATATCAGCATCGATAGCGTATCCATGGTCGTGTCACCAGCCGAGTCGAAACTGCATATCAGATCGTCCACCCGCTCGGCCAAGTCGGCCATATTGCCCCATCGTTCGGCCAACCAAGTCCAATTGGATTCCAAAAACATTCTTTTCTATTTTCACCCGCTAGCGGACGGCGCCCCACTACTACCGTATTACCGTAAGTTATTAATAGATGTTGCGTATACCCTGGGCCCCCAGGACTACGGCACTGCCTCCGTCTCTCGGTTTCGCCGACACCGAGCCACGCTCTCAACAGTTTCGCTTTCCCTGGCTCATGCCGATGTCCTCACGACGTCTTCGACTCTCGCACGACCTCGCGACGATCTCGTCTCTCTTTGTCTCTCTCGCCTCAGAGTTCTCAGTTTGATCTTCCTTCTTTCTCTCTCTCTCTCTCTCGATGTACCGAGGGGGCTCGCGTTTGGGAAGACGTCGAGAAGACGTTATTCGCGTCGTTATCGTTGCAGAGATCGTGTGTGGTCTGTGTAGGCTAACGATACTTCTCTCTGATCGATCTCGATCCTTTGAAAGGCAATCTCGGCACGGTGACGTCGCCGATAACAGTGTGATCACCGTGATGAGCGTGATGACTGTGATCGTGACTGTAATCGTAATTGTTCCCACTTGGTCGAGCCATAAGCACGTTCGATTTCATTGCCGCCTCTTCACGCTGAAACAACAACGATCGGTCAATGAACGCGCGCGGACTAAACTGTGTTTCAAGAACACGCTGTAGATATATTGCCTGATTTCAGTTGGATCATCGTGTCCGATCGTTTATCGATTAGACTTTGCCGCTAATCTTCGACCGGCGACGAGATAATTATTACAATAAGATAATTATTACAACGTCGTCAGAAACATTGAAAACTTGAGATAAGGTGTAACAATTAATCGATCGTTCTCTATTTTTCGCGTGTACGATCAATGGTAGATGGTCTTTTCTTACGGCTGTGTTCCGTCATCGAATGCGTCATCCCCCGCGATTTGCGAATCGCGTCATCTCCTATTCGTGGCATAAGCACGTTTCGTAGCAGCCATCAGTCGAGCGCCTGTGACACGATGAACGCGTTGTTTCGATCAATGATCTAGTGAAACCAGTGGCAGATCTAGTGAACGCGCACGATCTTTCGCCTGCGACCTCGGCTGTACTCGAACCCGTTTTAATCCGAGCGAAGCTCCGAGTTTTACGAGCGCTTATCCGCTTCTGAAACGTGAAACAAATGCTTCATTGGCGTGTTTTTTTTTTTTTTTTATTTTTCTATTTTAAATCTACATAGCACTAATCTGAACGTTAACGCGATTATCGAGTTCTCTCGGAAGCGCAGAGTAATTGAATAAATTGAATTGTTCTCGAGCAAGGATTGAAATATCACCTGTTTGTCTTGTTCGTCACGTTTGATACAATTAAAGTGGAAAGAGATAAGTGAAGAGATAAATGAGAGAGAATGCCTATGAGATTCACGCACGTGGTACACAAATTTAATCGCGTATTTCAACGCGTCAAACGTTGCTCATAGCACGCGCGTGAAATTCGTGTATTTGGAACGACAGATGGCAAGGGAAACGAGTGAACCGGGGTTAGAAATTGGCGAGCTAATTCGCCACGGTTCCACAACTTCCCATCGATCCAAGTGGCCAACGCAACCGGCACGTTGTCTACTCTTACCAAGTCGTTCTCTCGTGTTCTTTTCCTTAATACATGGTCTTTAACCTCTCTTCGTTCTCGACAAACACGTGTTATCGCACACTGCATCGGATCAATCGAAATTACACACCGTGTAGTACTCCAATTACTCGCCGTTTCGCTCAAGACTCAGCACGCGGTGATACACACCTCGGCCGATGTTCTATAATTACACATAGAGCTCCTCCGTTTATTCGTTCATCGTGATTGTACGTGACAGTATGTGTAACCGTTGCAACGTGCGCCTTTTCGTTCGTTTGCCGGTGTATTTATCCACGGAAACACCTGCGCGTGCACGCGTCGCGTCGCGTCGTCTCCGAAAGTCGTCACTGCAACGCGCGTCTGTCTCTCCCTTTTCCGCTCGTCGCAGCGCGTGGTCGTTCGCGATCCGCGTGGCGCAAGCGCCGTTTTATTTTGCCGCATCTACCATTACGTTTACTTTCGTTACTTTCATTTCCTCCAGTCACCGATATCAACGCAAACTGACGACTGACCTCGTTTCATTCCCGCCCGACCAGTTCCAGCCAAGTTTCACGGTCGACGTTTCTCGGCGACTTCCGTTTGTCGCTCTGACCGCTTACAGGTAGCAGCGGGCTACCAGGTGATCCCCTCGATCGAAACAAACGTGAGAGGACACGCGAAGCGAGGACCAGCGCGGCGCCAGTCGGCGACAGGCAATCTCCCTCGGCGAGTCGCGACGGGGAACGTGCCACTACTACGGCGAACAGCTGCGTTCCTACTACTTTAGGTCGATCCAGACGCGCGCCGCGCTCTCTCGATACTCTTCTTCACCGTGTTATCGATCCGCAACGAACCGCGAAACACCCATGGGTCGCACCCACGGCCCGTACATGATAGCCTCTCTCGCTCTACCTACCTACCTACCTACGCACGTACGAGTACGT